ATTTGCACGCTTCGCCCGGTCAGGGCAAGTCAAAATTATACAGCACCATGCACTATTACTTCTCGTTCCGGTAGCCACTTTCCAATGTTAAAAAAAGACATTTCAACAACCGAAACGTGACCCAGTTCCCAGGTTTGTGAGAAGAAGCCAACACGACGAACACCACTGCTAACTGAGCACAGGCCAACGGACAGGAGGAAGAGCGGTAAACGCCAGAGTGAGGCAAATCGCCCAGAAAATCTGGTACATGTAGGCCTGGGAAAGACTCTTGCCCAGTCTTTCTTGAGTCTGCAAGCGTCTCGCCGGCCGCCGCCATCTTTGTGTTATCCTCTGTTCAACATGGATTTTCAAAACCGTGCTGGAGGAAAAACAGGCTCGGGTGGCGTTGCTTCGTGGTCAGAATCGAATAGAGACCGTCGAGAACGCTTAAGGCAGCTAGCGTTGGAGACAATAGACCTCAACAAGGTGAAAATAATCAATTCTTTGTGTGTAGCAAGAAGTTTGTAATAGTTCTAAATACTCTTCCATGTGGTTTACCAGCTACCAAGCTAGATCGGAGTAAGAACGCGATACCAATTCATCAGTCGCATTCAATATGTCGCGATGTAGAAAAAACATCCCACATTCACATACTAACTCCCACAGATCAAACTGAAAAAATACTTTTGCTGTCAAAGGCTTGGTGCTAACTGAACAGGACTTCAACAAAATCAACTTCAATGACGCTTAGTGTATCATTATTTTTTTTTCCATGAAGATAGGAACATAAGATGTCTATTGCGTACGGGATGGAAATGCACCAATAGATAAATTGGTTAAAAAATTACTCTATAAAAAGAGGTATAACTATCTGGCTGATGACCTCATTGAACAATTTCCAGACATACAGTTGGTTTTGCAAATACTGTAATCCGAATCCACATGCGATCATGCCCAGGGATGGTGGCCACTGAAGCATATTAGTCATATAATTTTGTCATATGAGACTAGGAAGTGCAAGTGTGACCCAATGATAAGTCCCAAAATAAAACCCTATTACACTGAAACCAGAACCCAGAAAAGCTCTGTGGCTCACAATGTAACCAAAAAGTCCTTATTTGACATGAAAACAGGAATTTGTCGTGGAGGGATAGCAATGCAGGGATAGCCCTGTGATAAAAGTATCCCCTCCCACCAGTGTGGCATGGGGTTTGATTCCTCAAACTTGTGTTGTGGATTGAGCTTGTTGTTGGTTCTTGTCCTTGCCTCAAAGGCTTTTTCCCAAAGGTCTCAATTTTTTTTTCCTCTCCACAAAAACCAACATTTCTATATTCTTATTTGGACTAAATTCAAAGGGCGTCATATTTCTTGATCAGTTGCACATGTTACACTGTTACATGTTACCTTTATTGAGCAACATTGATTTATTTAAATCATTTTTCTGCTAAATAATAAATGCTGTTCACATTTATACTGTAGAGAAAGTGAAGGAATGTTTTTACAAGGTTATTTTTGTTTTTCAGGATCCATATTTTATGAAAAATCATCTTGGTTCTTATGAATGCAAGTTATGTCTCACACTGCACAACAATGAGGTTAGTTCCAACACTTTTTTCATATACATATAGGATCAAGATGAGCCATTTTCAGATCTTCAAAATAAAGTTAGTTGGAGATTCAGGTATAAACTCGCATTGGGCTTGTCATACGACTTCTCAGGGCTGTGCTCTAGAAGTGCCCTGATGCCACAGCTGACTAACTTTTGCGTAAATTTTGCAACAACAGTAATTTTGTTTTCGCTGCATGCATCAGAGCACTTGCAGAATCCAAACTATATTGTGGAGTGGTTTTCAGTAATCAGTGATTAGTCTGGTTTTGGTTTTACCACAGTTTGAGATTGGCTGGGTAGTCTAACTGGTAAGTAATTGGTTTGGTTTTTGTTGTACAACACTCGATTGAAAACCGCTCTAATCAAAGCAAATTCATTTCTGTGAAACATCTTGAGTGTACATGTAGTTGTCTATAAAAAACACAATGTTGATTAATAAAGTTATTAAGTATAGTCAACTTCATTTGTTCTCACCCGTAAGATTTATTTGTTTTTGTTCCTTTGTTATAGGGAAGCTATCTGGCTCATACACAAGGGAAAAAGCATCAATCAAACCTGTAAGTATTATACTCAATATAACTTTCTTGTTAATCTTGATTCTATCAATCAAGACAGTATATTTAAAATACAGGGTAAGGGAGGCTGTTGTAGACAGTGTTTAATTTTGCATGATTCCTTATCTTCAAAATGACTGCGTCTATCTAGAGAGTGCTTCCCCTACTAGTTAAATGTGAATAACTTTTATTGTTTTCAGAGCTCGTCGTGCTGCTAAGGAAGCTAAAGAGGCCCCAGCACAACCAGCCCCTGTGAGTACTTTATTTATGTTTCAGTAATGCACATTTTAGCAAAGTACATGAAGGGCTTGAAAAAACTTGAATTCCAGCTGGCCCTTCAGACCATCATCTCCCAAATTTTGCTTGGCCTGGACAAGATTTATACACCTTTCACACCAACTAAACATGTTTAATAAAACCAAGTTTATCAAAAAAAATCAGCAACAGAAAACTGGTAGACTGGATCTACTAAGCTCTAATGGGTGCATTCATTATGCTAAACATCAAGTCGACAAACCTCAGTTCAAAGCTTTTGTGACAAGAAACTTATAAACTGTGTTTAAAGTAAACAGCTTTTAAATATGTTTAAGCTTTGGTGTGAATGGGGTATTAGTGTACATTTTTAAACAATTATTGGATGAGGTTTTTGTGATATCCAGAAAAATCAAGGGTATCAGCCAAAGCCGAAGGTTGAGGCTGATAACCCTTACCAAGACCTTGATTATTCTGGATATCACAAAAACTGAATCTATTAATTGTTTTATTATACATTGAATGAAAATATATGTTACATATGACAATTGGAATAATTTTAACATTCACTTTCTGCAGGAAAAACCAAGGGTATCTGTTAAAAAGTTTGTCAAGATAGGACGTCCAGGTTATAAAGGTATAAAAACTCAACCCTTGTGATAACTTAAGAGGAGAGACTTTATCTGGAAGATCTGGGCAGGCATGTTTGCCTTGCTTGACAATCAACTCAAAAGTTTCTATGTTTAGGAAATATAGAAGAAGTACTGCAAAGGAATATTTATGACAAAAGTCAATGAACAAAATCCTAAATACAGGGATAATTTATTTTGTCAAGGGAGTTTGTGATGTAGATGACCATAGAGAGTTAAGCTCTGTGATTTACATTCTAAATACTCTATTTTTCCCTTTAGTTACAAAACAGAGAGATCCAGACACAGGGCAGCATAGTCTACTGTTTCAGGTTAGAATTTTAAAGTAGTTTAAAGACCTTTATATGTTGATCCAAAGGCAAGTCTGTGCATGAGCTCAAGTTTTCTCAAGTTTTTTCATGAGCTCAAGTTTTCTCAGAATAGTTTGTTCAGTCTGAAATATGCATTTCTATTGTCTCTATTTGCGCAGAATCTTGCAAGACAATAGCAATATTTATTTATTTTTTTATTGTTTTTACTTTATATTGATTGGATGTGAAAGTGTTATCAATTATTAGATGTAGATGTAGATGTAGATGAGTTCTTCGTTGTATGCAGTTTCCAATGTGTTCTCATGTGATATCTGCAGGTGGATTATCCTGAGATAGCAGAAGCCATTACACCAAGACACCGCTTCATGTCAGCGTATGAACAGCGTATTGAACCACCTGATAAGGCATGGCAGTACCTCTTGTTTGCGGCAGAACCTTACGAGACAATAGCATTCAAGGTGTGTTAACACTGACTTAGTTCGAGGCTGATATATTCCACTACTGCAGCTGTCATTCCTGAATAGTAATTGAAGTAACTTTATTAGTCACTCCAGTAAGAGTGGTTTGCAATAAGAGTGAAAGATGTGAAAGCTCTATGAATGAATAAATAGAAATTAAGAAATCAAACAATATCTCATGCACACCTCTTAAAAGCAGCCTTAAAATTTGGTTATTTTTTAAAAGTATTTACAGCTGTTAGAGTTTGAGGGAGTTAATTCCAAACCCAAACAACGCCGTATACAAAAGACCTCTGTCAGGAAGCTGTTGTGGATAGTAGCAGCTCTAAATTACATGTATTTCTATGTCTAGTAAAATATTAGTCTGCTCTAGCTATGAATTTGCTGTGCAAATATACATGAGCAAGGCTATAATCACTGTTCAGGCATTCAATCACCATTTCAGCATCGCTGACCTCAGTTTGATCCATTGGGCAACTTGTGGCCAATAGAGGGAGTTCCTTTCATTTTGCCTGTTGTTCAAACAAAATTCCATGCCCCATTGACAACCTGCACTGCAAAATTTTGCATTGTCTGAAGTAGAACAATGTTCTTCTTTGCTGTGTTGGCCCAAACTGACAAACAGTGAAACATTTTACCAAAACCACTGAGAGACTATGGGAAACAAAACATGTCAACTGCTTTTTTCTCTTGCTGACATAGATTCCAAGTCGGGAAATTGACAAAGATGAAGGTAGACTTTGGACTCAGTGGAATAAGGACACAAAACAGGTCAGTGTGCTGTGTATGCTATTAATGTATGACTCCTGATATTTCTTATTGGAATTGAAAATGCATAACAGCATTTTTTTTTGTACCATGGAAACTCTTGGAATTATGGTCTCTTGCAATCACGTGCTTAAGGGTGCTTTTTAAAGAAAGGAAGGACTATTGCCCCAGTAATACACATGTAAGAATGTTTAAATAATAATGATAATACCAAGGCTTCGTAGCAGCGCAAAGTAAGATATCGCTTAAAAAAAAA